GATGGGTGAAGAGGCGTCAAGTACAAGTACAAGTACAAGTAAGTAACAAATGGGATCATAACACAATCTTTATAGAATAAAATCATTCTAGTATTGTTTGCAAGGCTGAATATATTGCCTTGCAACAGAAATGCCATTCAGTTTCGCTCCTCTGTGTGAAGGAAAAGACTGCCAGAAAACCCATTTAAACACTCTATCTCTACCTTGTTTCAAGGCAGATTTCCTTATCAACAAAAAGTCCTAAAGGTGACAGAGGAAGTCATAATAGTAATATATTCCACATGGTTAGACAAAAGAAATTAGATTACCACCTTTAAAAGATGCCATATTAGAAAGACCAGCTTTTAAAGGCTGATTCTTAAAAACTATATTGGTCAGATAACAATCCTACTGAGAATTAAGGTTATCATCAAATCAAGAAAGAGAAGTCAAAAATTGAATGAAGGACTGCTATGAAAAGATATGTATCTGATAATTATGGTACTTTTCTTGATTATTAAGTGTGCTTCACATACACATTATATGTCACAGATGGAAGGCTAAAAGAACACTAACTAGTAAGTTACTGCCTAATGTTAACAGCTGAAGTGGAAAGTCAATCAGGAGTCCTCTATGCTGTATTCCTAGGTTGCCTTCCAGATGAATTGGTATTGCAATTCCCAGAATTCTCAGCCAACCTAGCCAAAGACAATTCATTACACTATCCAGGAATTATGGGATTTCTAATCCTAACATATCAGGTGGGTAATCAGATTAATCACAGCTGATCTGGAATACCTGATTTATTAGAAATATTAAAAATATCATCAGTATAATAAATAACTGCTCAGCATAATATGCAAAACAGAGGTGGAATAATAGGGGTAACAGTGATGGCAGTGACAGAAAATGACCCCCTAATCAGTAAAAGCACAACAAGAACATACTTTTTTATGTACACATCATTTGGAACAAATTTGAAAAACTAATATATGGGTTAATGCTAGACAGTCCTAGGAAGGGAAGCTGGGAGCAGACAGTGTCTGAGTTGCTCCTGAGTCACAGAGGCCAATAACACGTTTCCACCTAAGGTAGCCAAAATAACCCAGCTGGGAACTTTCCCACATGGAGTTTGTTTTCCATCTCAGTGGTTAAAAGAAACAGAGGACATGAGAAAATAAAACACATTGCTCTCTGGTGGGATATATATTTGCCAAAAGCTGCTAAATCGTTAGTGTCGCACAACAGAGAGTAGGTTGGGCTTAAAGGCAAAAAATCTAGATTCTAATCGCTACTCTGAAACCAGAGGTGGTATTCAGCAGGTTCTGACCAGTTCTGGAGAACTGGTAGTGGAAAATTTGAGGAGTTTGGAAAACCGGTAAATACCACCTCTGACTGGCCCCGCCCCCATCTATTCTCTGCCTCCTGCGTCGCAGCTGATCAGGAGGGAATGGGGATTTTGCAATAACCTTCCCCTGCCACACCCACCAAGCCACACCCACCAAGTCAGGACATGTCCACAAAACCACACCACAGAACCGGTAGTAAAAAAAAAATTGAATCCCCCCATTGTCTGAAACACGATGGGCCATTATGGAAAAGTTACTACCATGAGCTACACCTATGTAACAGTGTCTTTGAGACTAAACATATTTTTGCATACTTTGAAATCTTTCTCTAACTATTTTGGGACCACAACCCTCAGAATTCCCAGAGATACCAGAAACATCTGGTTGAAATCTTCTTAGGAATCATAAATGGAAAGATTCTACATATGTGTCATATATGGGCTTCTCTGGTCTAAGAATGTTCTTTTAAAAGTACCAAATTTAACAGTAACCTAATAAGATTAAAGTTGATAATCTGGCATGCTTGTTATTACTTGAATTATAAGATTTTTAGGTGTCTAGACATGTTAAATTCTACTGTACATGACTTTGAGAGCCAGTTTGGAGTAGTGGTTAAGGTACTGGCCTAGAAACCAGGAGATTCCCAATTGATGCCTCCCTTAGGCATGAAAGCTGGTTGGGTGAGGTTGGGCCAGTCATTCTCTCTCAACCCAACCCACTTTACACGATTGTTTTTGTGGGGGAAAATAGAAGCAAGGAGTATTAGATGCTGTATGTTCACCACATCAAATTATACATAAAAAGATGGGATGAAAATATAATAATGATGTCAACAAAGATCTAGTTATGTTCAATAAGATATTTTGCTAAGTAAATATCTACCACTGCAGCCCTAAATATTCCACTTCTGTGGATTGGAACTAAAAAGTAGGAGAAAGAATTTCTATAACAGAGTGACATCGTTGGAAAAGTGTGGCTTTGGAAAGCTAAAACAAACATGACTAAAAATCACAGGACTGGGTGGAGGCTAAGGAACGGAGTGAAATGAAGGTAGAAGTTCACATATTGCGCTAAGCCATAGTTTAGTTATTTCATATTTGGTTGGGTTCATATGATTTACAAAAAGATGGTTTACAAGCAGCAATGACTGTGGTCACATGTCATCCTTAAGGCCTTTTGTTCTTAGTTGCTGCCCTGACTTCCCACTACTACACTAATGTGTAACAATTCCAAGTTGATTATAGTTGTTGAGGCTGTCTTTAATGGTTTCACTAAGAGATAAAATATTAAGATATCAGTGTAGTTACTTACTTAAGGTTTTTTCTAGTGAAGGGAGGAGGGTTTGAAATAAATGTAAAATGTGAGCTAGAGATAACATTGCTATACTCAGTACCTGATTGTGCATTTAACTAGAAATTCAGCTAAGCCAAACAAATCACATCATAGCATAGTAACTGGACTTCATTTTTTCCCTTTCGCTTCTCATCCAAGAAGCTTCTTCAGTTCCCCAAAAACACTTTTGGGACAACCATGACGGTTGAGAATCCCCATAGACAACATAACATGGCATACTCCATTAAGTCTGCAAGAAAATGTGACTGGCCACTTTTTGGTGTTAATTTTCTCTCTTCCAAGTTGTTAATAGTTGGAGTTCAGCAAGTATTTAGACTGAAGAATAAGCAGACTTTCTATTTATTTGCCTGTATCAAGTGAAACGCTAGCCGGGACACTGAAGTCATTTCTTAGAGCAGAGGTCTTCAAACTTGGCAACTTTAAGACTTGTGGACTTCAACTCCCAGAATTCTCCAGCCAGCTGGAGAATTCTGGGAGTTGAAGTCCACAAGTCTTAAAGTTGCCAAGTTCGCTTATGTCAAAATCAAATTCGCTCTCATAGTAACCCCAAAACGAGGCATGCTGCTACCCCCTGGTGGGAACTCTCCTGCATGAATCTATCCAACTCCCGCGTCTCCTTTCCAGAGACTTCATTCTGGCGTTTTAACGTATCCCGTGGCGAACCGGTTTATTGCTAAGGCGTTACTGGTGCAGAGCCCCTGGGGGAATCTGTTGAGGGTTTTGATGAGAAGGCTAGACGGCCAAGACATTGAAATCCACAACAACCTTTACCAATGGTTTTCCGTACTACGGGAGCAACACGCGTGAGATAAAATATGCCTCTGGCCATGTATAGAGCCCACCCTTACTACATGTATAGAGCGCATCCCTTACTACGGTACCGCAGACCTGCTTCTCCCATAGGAGGTCTCGCGCGCCCCCGCCCCCACCTCTTACGGTTAGAAAGGAGAGCGAGCCAAACCCCGCCTCCGAGCGCCTTCCTTCTTCGCCGAATGGAATAATAATTTCCTAGAGCGTCTCCAGAGGCGTTTATTTTTTTCCCCCTCTTCAGTTCCCCCCCCCGCGCCTTAATTGCACGCCGGTGACGTCAGGACGGGGCGCGAGGGCCGCTCTAGGAGGCGTGGCGCTTGGAAGACTACTGCTGCTCCTGCGAGCGGCGGAGCCATGGGCGAGATGGGCCTCGGCGAGCGATGCGGGGCGCTTCTCACTTGGGTAAGCCGCCGATGGGACGCGGGAGGAGGTGGGCTCCCAAGGCAGGGCGCTGCTTTCTCCGCATTCCTCGCGCCGCCTCCCGCAGCGCTCGCTCGCGCGACGTTTCCCTCCAAGCCGCCCGCCGCCTTTGCAAGCGGTGTCAACAGGTGTCGTTTTCCTGGGTCTGACTCTGCTCCACACTCGGCGTTTTGCCCCTGGAACCGCCCCGGGAGAGAGAAGGTGGCGGGGGGCCGTTCCTAGCCGTTCCATTCGGAAGGCACCTGCTGCTTTGCACCCAGGCACCTGCTGGTAGTTTCCTGCAATTCCTGGCCTGCTTCGTTCATAAATACGGAGAGGGAAATAATCCGTGTCGGGTGGGGCGGGCTTCCTAAACCGACCTGTTTTGGAGATGGCGAAACGAGCCTGTGTGAGGAGGGAGCAATGCTTGGCTTGGGCGTGCAGGTGCTTGCTTAGACCTCCTGCCGCAGAAGTCTCAACCATCCTCTTGATTTCTCAACACCAAACGCCTCTTGGAGGTCTTTCGATGCCCCTAGGCTTCATGTAAGCATCGGTCCCGCCTTTTTTTTTCTTCTTTTTTTTTGTAACCTCTGCTTGGCTCACCCTGCTCTATGGTTAGTTGGCTTTTCACTTTGCCTGCCTTATAAACTCTGAAGTTTTTTGGCCTTTTCGGGATTCTTAGTCCTTCCTTTCACATACTATATACATACATATATCCCATCTGCTTTTCTGTGAGGACGATTGATAGTATCAGTCTGTTCAAAGCCAACAGCATATGTGGGGCTAAACTGTGTGTAGCTCTGTATAACACAAGAGACATCTACTTAAACTTGCTTCATTATTCAAGGCCAGATCTAGTGGAATTGAAATCCTGGTGAGACACACCTGTGTATTTTTCTGAACTATATTCTACGGCTTCGACATTGCTTGCCTTTCAGGATGTATTTTTTTTAAACTGGCCTGTAGCATTCCTTAGTTAGAGTCTAGAAAAGATTGGCCAGATACTGCCACCTACTGAGACTTGCATAATAAAGACTTAAATAACATGTCATGGGGTCAGGTTACCAGGTGAATCCATGTTCTGTTAAAGAGCTGATATCTCAGATTACTGGAAGAAGGTCTTGTTGGCTGAACTGTGACCTGCAGACTGTCACCTGGTACTAACAGGCTTCAGGAACAGGCTTGATTTGTAATGATGCCCAGGTGAGGCCAGCACTGATGCATCCAGCCCATAGGCTGCGAGTTTGACACCCCTGTTCACCCCTGATCACTTACATTTTATAATTTTTTATATTGTTTCTGATTGCCATGTTATATAATTTAATGATTTGTTTTTGTACACTCGTTCAAATTTTTTTTTTGTTATAGTAAGCAGAACTGGTTCAATTTTTTTTTGGTTATAGTAAGCAGAACATGTTAATGAACTGTTGTAGAACTGCCATCTATCAAGAGAACAGACTTTAAGAGACTGTGAGGGAAGATTTTGTTTTTGATTCTTTAATGCTGTGGATTAGGCAAACAAAAGTTATAATGAAATGATGAATATTTTTAGAGTAATTTTTTTTCTTTTTAATCTTTTCAATATAAAAAAGTTTTCTTTTAACATAAAAAATAATGATTTTATATTAATCTAAAAATTATAATCATTGTCAATTAATGATTTGTATTTATCACATTTATACATTGTTGCAATCTCAAAGTTTTCTCAACAGTTCACAGGAATCAAAATAATTAAAATTTAAACATCCACAATTGGATTAAAATTAAAATAGAAAATACAGAAAAAAATGTAAGGACAAAACCCCAATGAGTACTAATCTGTTTCTTTCATGATACCCAGTGGTGAGATAAGTTATGAATCAATATATTTTAAATTAAAAGTTTATACTTTAAAAAAACATTTTCACTTTGTATATTGTCCAAGTGCTGCTCTCTAGATATGCATCTAGTAGCAGGATTGTTCTCCATTCTTCATCTTATTCTCTATCTTTTAATACATGTCTCACTTATAGTTAATCAGTTTTTGTCACCCATTGAGGTAATTACTTCTCATTTGCTATATTTTATGGCCTCTGAATGGCCAAAAACCAGGCATGTTGTAATTGCTGGAAATGTAGCCTTTGTCAATATAGGGAATATGCACACACATTTTAGTAAGATGCTAACCTCTTAGGGATTGAGGACAAGCAAATAAATTATACTAAATGACATAATAACCCTTAAGTGTAAGGGCAGAGGAAATGCCTTTGAGGGACAGAAGGAACATGGCATTGGTCAGATAAAAGGGCCTGAGGCAGGGCCAAGAAATTAACATGAATAAACATCTTCAACAAGGTCCCTCCCTAGTTCACAAGAAAATAAAAGGAGGAAGCCATTCAGACTTGCAGCAGACTTGGTTCTATTACTACAACTTTATGATATAAATAGTACTGACCTACATGGTTTTGATTTTCTATCCTGATCTTTCTTGAAGTGTTGACATTCCTTAATTTTACTGGATATAATACGGTATAGCAAAAAAAAATTGAGCACTCTCACATGCTCATTAGAATCCCTCCAAGCAACTAATCAAGAAGCTTCTGGACTCGTCTGGTTTTAAACTGGGTCACCTCACTGCTCTTTCCATGTCCAAAGCCAGATTCCTTTGTTCTGTCTTGCTTGTTCTGTGTACAGCACTGGATTTTTTCCCATCGGATCTTGTCAGGCCTAGTTCTGTTGTAATATTATGTACTCTTAACTCCTGTAATTGTCCAATGCGTTGTCTGTCTATTATTATTATTAATATTAATATTATTCCAAATATTATACTTGGAAGTGCTGTTGTTATGGGAGGTAATGCAACCAAAAATCCTACTATAAACATATATGCCTGGAGTTTTTAAAATATGTATTTGGGGAGGGGATTCTTTGGTATTCATGGCTACTGTTAGAAGCGCCACTGGAAACCATGGTAAAGAGAACTTTTGACCATCTTAGACTATTGTGCCAATTGTAATCTGTTCTGGTGACAGTGATTTGTGCCATTATTACCACATGTTTGGATTGCTGTAATATAATGTGTCTAGCCACCTTTGAAGGCAATCCAGAATTAAAATTGTACCAAATATATCAGCCAGGTTGTTAGGTAAACTAATGTTGCATATTTTGGTTGCTACTCTGTTTATCATTATCTTTGTGAGACCATTTAAATGTACTTCTTTAGCCTATAAAACCTTACATAGTGCAGCACCGAAGTATCTAGGAGCCGTCTTCTAAAATTCTATCTCCAGGAAAGGAGATATTGCGTAGGATCCTTAAGTGGAAAAACTATTCACTTAAATTAGAAGCCAAAGCAATTAGAGATAGATGGTAACAAAGTATATTAGAATCCATTATGGTGATCACTTGTCTTCTTGGCAGGCAGCAAATGAGAAATCCCCTTGGTGAGGTGAGGCTATTATGATTCCGAAGGTATTTCTTCTCTTCCTCCTCCACATCACACTCCTGGAAGTTCACCTGGCCATCTTATTATCTATCTTATGTAAAATGATTATTTGGTTTAGGCAGGATTTAATTGGTGATTATTATTTGTGATTTTCATCAATATGGATTTTAATAATGACATGGCACATAATTTTCTGCTTCAATTGGTTTTTCTGAGTTTATCAATTTAAAAAAAAATCAATTTTGATTTAATGGTGTTCATCTTTATAAATCACCCAGACACTTGAAAAGAATCTTGAAATGGAGTGATACATAAATGAGTACGTACATTTAAAAAATACTCATTTAAGAACTTGATATGATTTCTGGCCCTTAAGAATAATTGCACTATTTAATAAATAGTCATTTATTAAATTGGATTACTCAATCTTCTGCCCTTTGGTTCTATATAGGTAGTCCTCACTTAGCAATCCTAATTGGGATGGAATTTGCTAAGCAAAATGGACATTAGGAAAAGCATCATGATATGGCCACACAGTTTAACATTAGTCCTGGCTACAGTCATTAGGCCAGGGCCTCATGCTTCTGTCCTGCTGTGCTGCCTCTGCTTCAGCTCTCCCACCTGTATATCTACCCCTCATCTCTGCCTCTTGGAGATCCTGCATTCTGTCCCTCCTGCTCTTGACAAGGAGGACCCAGCCTGGCCCTTCACAAGGTAGCTGCTGGCCTTGCAAGACCTTCCTAACGGCAGCAGAGGACAGAGGAGTCAAAAGGGCAGAGCTGGGAGGGAGAATAGGTGGGTGAAGGGAGTTGATAGGCTGGTGGACAGAATTGAAACATAAATTGAGGGTGGGGGGAGCTGCCAAAGGCCTGAATTTTGATCATGTAACCATGGGGACACTTTAATGGACATAACTTTGAAGACTGGTTATAAATACTGCTTGTTCATTTTCATTGCAACTTCAAACAGTTGCTAAACAAATGTTCCTTAGCAAGATCTATACTAAAATTCATCTAAGCTGCTTTCTACCTTGACTTTTGACTTCTCGCTGGTGTTCCCGTTGAGTTTCTTTATAGGAAGCTGGCAAGGGGCATTGGAAATGGATCACATGACCACAGCTGACTATGGCAGGGCAGTGGCCTAGCAGCACTGAAGCAGCCACAACTATCAAATTTCAATCCCACGGGAGTCATGGGGTCCTGGATTTTGGATGCATTCTTTACGTTAGCTCATTTGATAGTTTTGTTGCCCTAGGATGCATTATTTGTCCAGCTGAAGGTTATAAGCAATCAAACGGACATGAAAGTTTTAATAGTATACATTGTGAAATAAACTTAAAATACTATTTTATCTTAAAATCTGTATTGTTACATTTCAAGGATAAGTATGTTGTGTGCATAAAATTTCAAGATACAATTTTGCTGGCTGAGCAATTCCCAAATTGGCATTTTCAGAATGGCTGCCCAGCATAATTGCCTTGTTATCTTTTTTATCTTTAATGAGCAGTACAGTAGTTGCAAACGTTGGTCATCTTGTGCAAATACCATTTCCTTGAAATGTAACAATACAGATTTTCTAA